GGCTTGTTTTACAACGTCGTTGCCAAGCGACGAAAACCCAACCCCGATGGCAAACACCGGAAGAGGGGGGGGGCTTGTTTTACAACGTCGTCGCCAACCGACGAAAACCCAACCCCGATGGCAAACACCGGGGGGGACCAGGAGGATGGACGTGACCAAAGCCGGACGTTTTCAGCACAACGGTTGTCACATGCAAATTGATTCTCTGTCCCACGTAAGTCAGGGTCTTGAGGGTTTTTACAACAGCAAAAACTCCCGTTGAAAATAATCTGAGTATTTCCCACTACCTTTCATCTTTGAGAATTGCGATGCGTTTTATCTGGCGGGTGGACCTAATTTTCAACTTCGAGTGACAAGTTAAGCCAAGCACCCGCCGACCTGAAAACGGTTGAATGTCGTCGCCTGTTCCCGGGACCGGGCTAACGTTAACGTTGAAGGTTTGAAAGCAACGTCGAGGCCGGGTTCATTCACCACAAGGCACGTAGCGACGAAAAACAGATAGAAGAATCCTGCCTCTTTAAAGTCCTAACCTAGATGCATCCCAGGATTCCAGGGCTACACAATGGAAGCCCGCGCCGCTGCCGCAGACAACCCGTGGGATAAATTGGAATGGGTGCCCGCAATTTCCTATTGGTCAACAGTTGTACCGCTGATTTCTGATGGAACAACGAAACTTGATGTCGAGATGCTCCCCCCCGCCGCCCAACTCCATTCGTCTCCTGCACGTGCTTGATAGAAAACCTCCCATTGGCAACCAATCGAACAATTGGAATGCCTTGTCGAATGAAATCAACTAGAAATATTCAATCGGCGATACTTTCGTGTTCTTCTAGCTTTGAGTGAGTGCACGCTGGCGGGCGGTCCGTGAAAAAAATAATACGGTAAACGAGATGAAAATGAGATGCGGCAAGGCAAAGACATAAACAACGAAATCACCACCTTGTGAATAGCCTCCTGGACGTGGGAGTTCGAAGGTTTGGGAGCGGTAGCACCCGCGACCACACCCAGCGATGGCAACGCCGCTGCCGACAACGATCCGCTTCCTCCATCCCTGTAGATGTGGATGGAAGAAATGCGAGAAACAGCAGATGCAGGCACGCCAGTTAGGTTATCCTTCGAGCTGTAGACCCTTTTTCTCATGGAAAAGGAAAAATGGCATAAAAAAAAACTCAAGGGGAAGCACAGCACGCTAACGGAAAGGGTGGTAACGGAGATGATGAGTCCCAGTCATCCCCATCCTTCAGGTACAAAGGCGGCCAAGTCTTCGGGGCCCCTACCAAACCATTGCACGCCCATCAAGTGTAAAAAAAACAGGTAAGATTCACCCTCATTTCACGATCAGACGATCGGGGGTAAGATGCCAGCATTGCGTTTCTCAGAGGAAAGAGGGAAGGGACTTCAACCATAGCAAATTTGTGTACTAAGTGGAACAGTGTGTCATAAGGACGGACTCTCCTTGGAGAGGACAATAATAGGGAGTGACACGTGTAATCACAACCCTCTTGGACCGATGTTCAAAGCTCGATTATTCCACAGCTGCAGAAATAGCACAGGGCAATGATGCTACTATGCTTCGAACAGTTGTACGTGTTAGAAAAGGGCTTACCCATTACACCACTCAGGGAGCCGCTGACTGAGAGTAGTCCAACAGACAAGCTTCTTATGTAACTCAGCCAGCGCTGACTGAGTTGTACAATAGACAAACCTTTATCGTAACAGCATGGGTGTACGAAGCAAATGATGCATCGACTTGGTGGGATGAGCATGGTCCTTGTACTTGAGATGCACGATACTACTGCTATCGTCCAATAATTGCTTCCCCGCTGTCGGTAGGATCCTTTACCCGATTACAATCAGCCGGTGTTCAGCCCGCGAAGGCTCGTTTCATTGTTCTACAAATATGCACATCATGCTACAACCAGAAACACAAATATTCCATACATGACGGTTAGATTGTATTTGTAACTGTCGAACCGAAACATGACGGGGGGTGTTTGGAGAAACCACATATTTCGCCTGCAGACTGAGCTGGGTCATGCGTATGGTGCACATCATGAGCGTACAAAGCTAGGTCTGTCGCGTGGATGGAAATTGACGCGATGCATGTGGCTTTTTCGCGCCATTTTTGGAGCTCATCTCCCAGCAAGCCCCCCCAGTATATACCGAATCAAGATGTCTGCGAATTCGCTGCACAATTTTCGCGCCAAAAGAGAAGGCATCCACATCGCGTTGCTGCGCTTCCTCTGCCTCTCTCAGTGACGCCAGATGCAACGTGTGCATAGCATCTTTTGGGGGCGCTCTCGAACCCCACACAGGTCGACGTTAACTGCTGGCATCTGCTGCTGCTGTGTGATAGATAAAACCGAGGGTTCATGCGATGAACTGAACCTTGTACGCGTATGACCTGCTGTGGAGCCCGCAACCCACAGCATTGTACCAGAGCCAGATGGGGCTGCTACCAAGGCAAAGAGAGAACGCTCCAGTCACCTTTTCTTGTCCCCAGCAGCGAAGGGGCGCTTAGTCTCTTGCTGCTTGAGGCCATCGACGACCACGTCTCTTGTCTGCTGCCTCCTCTTGCGGGTGGGGAACATTGCGCTGCCTTGGATTGTGGAAGAGCTCATGGTCTCGTGTCGTGAGGTCGACGTGTCCAACACAACTGTCTGTTGCAAAGCGGTGACGCCCTTCAACCCCAGCCTCCAGAACAATACTCTCCGTATACCCTGCTGCTTGCAGTGGGTGCAATCCTCGCGTTAGTAAATGCAGCAGATGCGATGCAGGTGTGCCGTGAGTGGTGTGTTCCAGCGCAGTTTGTCTTTGTTTGAGGGGTTCCGCAGTTTACGCTCAATTTACAATAAACAAAGAGGAGTAACCAGAAACGGGTATTCCAGGCTAGATTATCACCATTTCAGAGCCTGTCTTATCGGAATCGGAAAAATCTGTTTCCAGGAAATCAAAAATCAAAATTGGGCTCTGATTGGCCAAGAGGCCCGGAAGCCGGTGAACGGCGATTTTGAATTACCGAAAAATCTGTATCGCGGCGAAAGTCCCCAGTCCCCAAGGACTTTTTTTGTCCGTGTGCGGACGGCGGACTCCGTGTCCAGAAAATCTGTTTTGAAGTCTCAACGCATGGAAGGCTTCGGCAACGCTCCACCTACTTGGCTGGCAACCACACAGCGCTATAATAGTTGCTCTCTCTCCGACTGTCGAGACACACACGATCACATACGGCGAGCACGCATAGCATGGCAGATGACATGCTGGAGACGGCCACGGCCGAAAATTGCGCAACGGGAAGGAGCCAGCGCGTCGGCCTGCTTTCCGGAGCCCAGACGGGGGTGAGGCTGCTGCCGCCCGTACAAGGCGAGGCAGCTGCTGTGAACGGCAGCAAGCGGAGCGTTGGTGTCGCGGACGTTGACCGCTTCAACGCGGGGTTAGCGCGAGCCGCTCAATATCGGTCGGAGGCTGGTTGTGATCATGATTATCATGGGGAAGATTCCGACAGCTCTCCTGTTGATGTGGACGACCAACGGCAGCAGCAGGCAGTCGGTTTGTCTTGGGCTACCCGTAGCCTAATGGGCGGGCGCGCTTTGTCTCAGGCCTTCACGGCTTGTGGGAGCGATCGACAACCTACGTGGCAGCACCCTTCTGCGGTCGGCGAAGAAGGTGGCAACACCGAGGTACGCTGCTGTTGCAAAGCTGGTTTTTGTTTTTTTTGGCATCGGTCCGCGAGGTGGTCCTTCAGATTTACAAGTACCAGTACCGCATTAGTAGAGTACAGAGCAGGACATGTAGTCCGTCTATACGGCAGCAGCAGCAGCAGCAGCAAGCAGCACTCCATTCGAGAATGCTTCTCTAGTGCGTAGCATGGTGGCCACATGGCGCAGGTGGGCAGTTCTTTGGGGGTGCTATCGCTCCGTATCAGTGCCCCACACGCAAGTTGTGCTGGTTTACGAGGAGGACCAACAACAGCAGTACGCTGCTGTTGCAAAGCTGGTTTTTGTTTTTTTTGGCATCGGTCCGCGAGGTGGTCCTTCAGATTTACAAGTACCAGTACCGCATTAGTAGAGTACAGAGAAGGACATGTAGTCCGTCT